GCTCTTCCGTAATACACCCTGGGAACATGTTGTATAAAATTCTAAAATAAAGCGCCTTCTACATTTTCAAACCACCAGTTAGTCATGTCTTTGCACAAATAAAGAACTAAAATAAATTGATAACACGGGCACATTGGGTTCTTGTACATATGTGCAGCTAACTTGTTTTTAAACACCAGTTTAATATCGAGTATAACTTGATTCGTAGGATGAAACAAATTCTACCCTTCAACCACACACCAGTAGCCCAGCAACCCCCTCTAGAAGCCTTTATTTACCACCAAACAGTGAGTCCTGCAGTGAAAGCAGTTCTTCTGGTAATATGATCACGCAAGAGCAGAAGGACAGCAAAACCCATAGTGCGCTTAACCAATATTTGCATTCCCGCGACGTCAGCCTGATCCGTTCAAGAATGAGCATGCCGTGGAATGATGCGAACGAAAGAACAAAGCGCTATTACAATCGTAAAACTGGGCAGGCTGTAAGGGCAGTGGTTAGTGATATTGCACCAAATGATGCACTGCAATTGTTCGAGGTAGTGTGCTCATCCAGTAAAATGGCGGGGAATTATCCAACTTACGAAGATTTGTCTGGTTGCCATGGTCTCAATGAAACGTTAATGATGGCCCTTGTGGAATGCTACAATGCTGCTGATTGCTGGGAGACACGACGACAAATTCTATCGATTATGGCGGAGAAAATGCCACTCAAACGGTTACAGCACTGGATACCGAACATCACCAAATACATGTTTACTGAAGCCAAACGTCATTGTTTGATCCAGGGTAGAGGGGCGCCAGTACAGAATATTACCACATCTAGACTACGAGTGTCTACCTCACAAATTGACCATTTTATCGACTTTATTACAAGTTCGCATATCACTCAGGACTTGCCTTCTGGAGAAAAGATAATCACATTGTCGACCAAGGAGACCATAAAAGTACCCAACGTTATAAGAACGATGGTTCGAGCTCAAATAGCGACACAGTATATCAATTACTGTGAACAATTGGGATTTAAACCCTTGAGTCACAGCAGTTTGCTTCTAATTTTGAACGTTTGTGCAGCTTCCTCCCGTAAATCTCTTCAAGGGCTTGATTACATTAGCTCTGCCGGTGCTGAAGCATTCGATGACCTTTGTGGTGTTGCCGAGACTCTTGGAGACGTAGGCCAGGGGATGGGCCAAAGAAAAGCAGAAGCGACTACGAGAAGGCAAGCGTTACCTTAAAAGCGATTATAAGGTCCACGTGTCTCCATGTTCTACTGTGGCTGATCACTGTAGACCATTTGCTTTAAGTGATCCAAAGGAAAAAGCCTTCCAGGTCACCTGTGATCATGAACATTCCCGCACTTGTCACCGCTGCAATATGCTTACATCTACAATCGAAGACATCGAAGCTGCCCTGGTGGAACAGAGAGCTAATCTTCTACCTGACACAGTTAAAGACGAGCTCCAGTTTAGAGTTAAGCAAGCAAAAAGCGCGATCTTGGCTTGGAAATCCCACCTTCTTCGATCAGTTAACCAGGACGCTGCACGGACTGACGTTTTGGAAAAACTAGACGAGTCTTCAGTGCTATTGGTGCAAGACTGGGCAATGAAGTATTTGCCTAGAAAATACAGGGAGAGTCAAAAAGATTGGTTTGGCAAACGTGGAATTCCTTGGCATATAACAGTAGCAACGAGAAAAGGTGTCACTGGGGACGTGGAGATGCTAACATTGGTCCACATATTACCAAGTTGCAGTCAAGATAACTGCGCCGTTCTTGCAGTTATGGCAGATGTTATCAAGCAGCTCAAGTCAATCATGCCTGGCCTGAAGTCAGTCTTCTACCGTCAAGACAATGCTGGCTGCTATCACTGTGGTCCAATCACAGCTAGCGCCAGAGTATTGGGCTTGCAACATGGCGTCACCGTCAAAGGTTTGGATTTTTCTGATCCGCAGGGAGGAAAGGGTCCATGTGACAGGAAAGCTGCAACAATTAAATCGCACATGAGGATTCATCTCAACAGCGGCAACGACATCGAGGAGCAACCGACAAATGCTCCAGATGTTTTTACGTGTCCCGAAGAAGGATGCAATCAAACTTTCTTGCGGCATTCCTCTTTGCAAAGGCATTTAGATTGTGAAAAACATAGCAGAGTTTTGGAATGTGAAAGTCTGTTAGATAAAGCGGTTCTGAGCTATGCGGAGGCTTTAGAGGGCCAGGCGGTTTCGATACCAGAGATAGGGGCAACGGAAGGAAAAGAAATGACTCCTGTAGTCAACTGTGCAGCTGACTTAGCAATGGGTTGGGCACTGAAGTCTTCATCAAAGAAAGCTCGGTTTTCAAAGAAACAAAAGGACTATCTGATAGGAAAATTCCAAATTGGTGAAAAAACTGGTCAGAAAGCAGATCCTTCCTCCGTTGCTCGTGCAATGCTGACAATAAGAAATGTAAATAGAGAAAGAATGTTTACCAGCGAAGAATTTTTGACAAGTTCTCAGGTAACGAGCTTCTTCTCTCGCCTAGCAGCGAAAAAAAGGCTGTCTGAGGAGGGCAATGATGAAGATGATGAAGACTTTGACGATTTGGAAAACGCAGCAATGGAAGCCCACATTGAACTGCTCACCAACGAAGTTGCCTGCGAATTGGTGCCACAGCACCCAATCATGTATAAGACATACAATTTGTGTGATATCATATCAAGGTCACAGTTAAAGAAATTTAACATATCCGCCCTCAAAGAGATCTGTGATTCTTTGATGATCGACGCCACAGATGTATCTGCCAAACGCAAACAGCCTTACATTGAAAAAATCGAGGAGTTCTGCACTGGCTGCACATGTCGCGGGTAATTTTTGTGCTACACTGCACGTCTTTTGAGAGAAAATTTGTGTTAGCGCTACAATATATGCAAACATATGGCTCGCTGTAACATAATAACATTTTCTTATTAACAGCCCGTCCACCGGACACTATAACAGTGCAAAGCTACTCTGCTAAAGATCTCTTCTTGACGAGTAAAATCGTTCCACCAGGCACAGAAAGATGGGGGCGTCATGCCCGTGGTGGGTTAAAGATTTGTCGAAAATTTCGCAATCGGAACTCGGAAAATCGGAAATCTTGCTAAAATTTGAGGTTTGGTAGGAAAGTTTCAGGCATTTTCTTAAAGTTTTCTCAGAGGGTTTACACAGAATATCAGTGGGAAAATTAGCAGTTAACTCCCCCCCCCTCCCCTCTGCCTGTGAACAGTAGCTACCACGCCCCTGCTGAAGGCGAAAGGCCTAGACAATTTCACTCGTCAAGGCCAAGGGAACAAAACCAAGTGTAGAAACCTATAAATTATTTTAATTCGATTAAAAGCGAAAACTGACCCTGTAAACCTATGTTTGTGGAGGTATATATCGACATTGTACAATAATATATAGGTATAAGTTGTTGAAAACAGAAGGTTTAATTTTTGATAAAAGTTGTTTTTATGCCTAGAAAGTGATATTTAAAGTTTATTAATGTAATAGTAATAATCAGGATATAGAAGCATCTTCTACATCTTTTATTGTCATCTAAACAACATTAATTAATAAATTTCCACTGACCTGTGTCAGTCTTAACATGACGGCGCAGAATAAGGTAAACATTGGAGGGCGAAAACCCTACGCGGTAATGATTCCAACGAATGGCTAAAAGTTTGAATATTATGCGGATATTTCCAAGATTGTTTAAATCTGAATAAACATTTAGTCAAGATAGACGTCTGTTGTCTATATAATAATGGCGATTGCCGTTCAAACCGATGTGATGGCACAGATGCCGGTCAATATGGTCATGTCTACTTCCCAGGAAAAATGGAATCTTTTAAGATATATATGCCCTATTGCTACAGTGTATGTGTCTGTACGTGATATTTTCCTATTGGTGACGTTTTTAGTCAATTTTGAGGTGAGTAGCAATGTTTGTTGCAACGTCTTGGTTTAATACGCCTATCGATCATCACAGGTTATCGGGCGCCATTGTTATGATTTTAATGAATTTTGCAATGCTGTATCTCAAAGGCAATGAAAAGTACCAAACTATTTTTTGTTCAGCAGTTAAATAGAACCCTTCTGTCTGCCATAGCTAAAATATTGAGTCGAATTGACCTATACCGCAGATCGAATTTCAACTTAGAAAAACTGTCCTAAATTAACATTTTTAGTTCATGAAATATGACCTGTTTTGGACGGCTCCCCAGGAGGCCGGTAATACATGCACTGCAAATATTTTTGTATTAAATTACTTGTAAACACTTCATTAGTGTATATATGGGCGCTTTTTGACCATAATTCGTACGGCGATCGAGCGACAAACAGTTATTTTCACTTCAAATAAAGCAGTCCGCCATCTTGATTTGCAACATTTAGCGGTCAAAATAGTTTTTGCGAATTTTCGCGAGAAGAAGAAGGAACCCGGGCTAAAGAAACCAATTACGTTTATTGGTTCACTGTGGACTATCTTTGGACAAAAAATGAGGATGGGTGATTTCTCGAACTTGTGCCACAATTTTTGAATTTTACCCAGTCTTTACAGAAATTCTCTCTTAAATACATTTAAGCATAGGTTATTTTGAGGCAATGAGGGGATATGTGATTTATTCACCGAGGCGCGCAGCGCCGAGGTGAATAAACACATATCCCCGAGGTGCCTCAAAATAACGTACTTATTTTTCACATTGCGAGGTTGCGTTCATGAGACAGAATAGAAATAATTCTTAATGCCATATTGCCTTCGTTATGTTGTTTTTTTTCTCTTTTTTTGTGCTGCAAAGACATTGCAGGTGAATATTAGAGGGGATTATTAATTGCAGGTGAATATTAGAGGGGATTATTAAACGGAAATTGATTAGAGTGGAATATTGAATATATTCCCCGATAAGAACAAAGGAAACCGAGCAGGGTGAAAAATAAGCAGGGTTAATGGCAGATGTATTATGCAGGCCACATCCGCTGAGGGGAGTCTGTGACATATCAATCAAAGGAGGTTGTTTCGCGCCTTGTGATCAGTGTGCTTCGTTCTGGGTATTCATTCAGCCATTGTATGCTTTGCCTAGCTGCAGCAAGTTTAGCACTTTGATACCTTTTCCCCAAACCCATGTTTATTCTAGAGGATTTTATCTGGTAGTGTGTCAGATTGTTGCTCTCATTGTTGCTGCGCAGCTGCTATGGCAATACTTTGTGCCATCAAGCATAGACGGATTTTCTGGGGGATGCAGGGGGTGCTACCCCCCTCCCCCAATAGTAGCTATAACCCCCCCAAACAAAATATCCACCCCTCCAAAAAAATTTTCAACCCCCCCCCCCAATATTTGGCATAATAAATAAATAATTAAATAGTCCACTCCAACGTGCAGAGTGTTGATGATACAAAGTAAACGTAGGAGTACAATCAAATAGAAAAAGACAGTGCAACACTCTGATACTAATCGCTCCTCGCTTGCATTCACTGGTTTAATTTATTGGAGCAATTGTGAAGTTTTGAAACTCTATTATCTTCCCTGAATAGAGTTTGCAGTGCCTTGTCATGCGAATAGCTTGCACACAAGGAACGTTTGGAATTTTTACGAACACTATTTTTAGGTTTTAATTCTTTTAGGAAATAGACTTGCCTAGATTTAATCTTTACGCCCCAAATATTATTTACATCGGAGTTGCATCATAAATTGTACTCGGATTCAAACAACGCAATGTCAATGACTTTATAAAAGTAAAAGCATATTGTGTATTGGCCTTTTGGGTTTACACTTTTACAGGTTCATTTAATTTTAACTCTCTCAAGTCTCAACAGACAATCAGACATGCCAAATCCATTGATATGACAAATTCAAAAAACTTTTTTCGAAGCTAAGAAATCATGATTTTTTTCAAATTTATCCTGGAATACTTTGTTTTCTGCTCTCTAGATTCCCTCTCATTGTTCTAGTGCTCCACCCCTAGAATATAGACCTTACTGGGGTTTGGTGACACTTTGTGTTGCTTCAGTCACCTGCTCACGGCTCACCCCCCTAAAATTTCTGGCACCACCAGTAATAAATATGAAAATCCATCTATGCCATCAAGTCTACTTGCAGCCTTGGACCACAAACGGCACCTGCCTCCAAACACTAATACTCTGCCGTTAAACATGGTAAGTTACAATCGCCCAGACCAAATGGAAACCTGATTTTAGTGTTATATATAAAAATACTCCTCTTTTAATTATAATTTTCTGCTA